GAGCCCGCCTCTGACACTGCCGGAGAACTGGGGAGAGTGGGGGTGAGCCCAGCTGGAGCGGGCAGGGGAGGGGTGGGAGAGATGTGAGCTGACCTGGGGTAGGACGGGGAGGGCGCAGGGGTGGGGCTGAGAGCCGCCCCATGCGAAAGTGAGACTGGGAGCTTCGTGAAGGGGAGGGAGCTGTGGGACGTGCAGGCCCCTTACACTTACAGCGGGGATGGGGCGGGGATGGGGGCGCTGTGAACTGTCAGGCGAGGAGCTGCCAGGCCGGCAGCAGCGCTGTGACGATGCAATGGGGGAGGCAGGGGGCTGCCGAGCAAGATGTGAAGCTGTGCAGCAATATGAGTGGTGTGCACAGAGGGGTGGGAGCTGATTTGCCAGTGCGTGGAAGCTACAGTTCAAGTGAGGCAAACTGGCACTGGGGAGGGAGTGTCACAAAGATCAGGAGGTGGTGGGGAGAAGTTGCAAGAAGGTGTTGAAGCAGTGACTGGCCAGAGGAGTTGGGTGTAATGGTTATCAGGGAACGGAGCACTATGAGGCTCCTAGTTATCTACTGCCTCTAGTTATATGGATTCTTGCCTATGGTAACTGGACCCATTCACTGCCTGACAACACTATCCTCAAAGTCACTCAGTCTATTCCAGTCTTGTTTTTGACTTGCAGAGTAACAAGAGGTGCACCCTAGTAGGGACCTGTAAGCTTGAGGCATATACAGGCAGTCCCCGGGTTACATCAATCCGACTTACGTCGGATCCCTAGTTACAAATGGGGGGGCGCAGCTGGTGTGGGGTGCCTCCTCCACTGTCGCCGCCTCCGGTGGCGCAGGGGGCACTTCCCCCCCAGCAGTCCAGGGAGACGCGGAGCGGCTTTTCTCAGCAGACACCTCAGCTTGAGAATAAAGGACTGAGGGAAGTGAGGTGTGGGAGAATAAAACTGAGCTCTGGAGAAATGTTTGGCTAGAGTTTCCCCTACAATATGTACCAGTTCCAACTTACATACAAATTCAACTTAAGAACAAACCTACAGTCCCTATCCATTGTGTTACAGTCCCCACCTTGGGAGCAACAGCTCTTTCCTTCTTCAGCACTAGAGCTGCAAGTATCTTGTTAGCGTCACGTGAAATTAACAAGTCCCTTCCAACCTGGCAGAGGTGAAGCTGAAAAATTACCCAGTGGTGTGGGTGGGCAAGAATGGGGAGGAGCAGGACAGAAGAGAAGAGGGGATAAGCCCCAACCCCATACCCTGGCTGGAGCGGAGCAGGGTAAGCCCCGAGGGGATGGGTCTGGTTGCAAAGTGGGTGAGTGGACAATGAGCACCCACCTGTGGCTAAACTCCTGTTCCCAACACAGAATTTTTATTTAAAATTAATCCTGCGGATAAATTCACACACACACTTCACAGGAAGGGATTTCCATTTTCTGCTCAGCAGAATACAACAACAGCTTTGATTGTATCAATATTTCACTGTGCTCTCCAATGACTATTGATTACACTTAATACCCATTTCACTGAACCATCTGTAGCAAATTCTGTTTGGAACAGTGAATAAACTTTTTTTAGTTATAAAAAACAAAGATTCTGACTATTAAATGAATAACTGGGATCTTTCACGTACTCCAAAAGGAAGATTTGGATATAGCATGAAACACTGAAACTTATGATCAATTTTTAATTAAAATATCAACCAAGAAAACCTTCATATCAAAACAGTATGTGTTTTTCTTAGAATAAGGAAGTTGTATGAGAATCAGGGTCTTTTCCACCTAACTCCAGCTCCCCGCTTCCCCGCAAAATATGTGTAAGTTCCAACTTACATACAAATTCAGCTTAAGAACAAACCTACAGACCCTATCTTGTACGTAACCCGGGGACTGCCTGTAGTTAACCAACCTTAACCATTAGCCCCATCCCTTTTCAGGAATCCTTCTCACAAGCACCTTCTGAGACATGAAGTAGACCATCTCCCAAAATTTAAACCAGTACCAGTACTACACTGAGGGGAAGGGCTTATTTTCTCATTAACCCAGAAGAAGACTGAGGGTTGGAAGCTTTTCTTGACTTGAGAAACCCAAATTAATTAATTAAAATACAACAGTTCAGGATGGGTACTTTAGCAACAGTAATTCCAGTACTAAAATGAGGGTACTATTTCTTGGCCCTTGACCTGCAAGATGCATCCTTTCATATCACCATACAGCAGAGACAAGCAAAATACAGCCTGTGGGCCAGATTCGGCACACCAAGCCATTAGATCTGGCACGCTGCTCCGCAGGAGCCTCGGGCAGGCTCCCTACTTTCTGTGCCCTGTGCATCACTCAAAGCAGCTATTTGTAGGGGCAGTCTTTACTCTGCATGCCAGGGTGAGGTGGGGCTCTGTGCTTTGCCCTTGCCCCTCAGCACACTCTTATATCTCCCATTGGCCAGAAATCAGCCAATGGGAACTGCCTGGGAGGTTCTTGCAGCATGGACATTATGTGGAGGCTCCCTCTTCCCCAGGGTGCTCAGTGTGCAGAGAATATATGGCCTCTTCAGCCAGCCACACTGAGTGGCGTGGAACACAGGGAGCCAGCCTGAGGGTCCTGCTGACTGGGAGTCCCCTAGGTAAATGCCTTCTGGCTAGAGCCTGACTCTGGCACCCCAACTCCTCCCTTTTCCCAACCCTCTGCTCCCCCTCCTGCAGCCCTGCACTAAGTCACAACCCAAACCTTCTGCACCTCCACTCCTACACCCATACTCCCTCGTGGACTCTTTACTCCAATCTCCTTACCCAGGTCACAACCCAAACCCCTGCATTCCTACACCTCACTCCTACATCCATACCCCATCCTGTTTCTCTCCTCTAAGTCAGAATCTTCTCCTGTACCCATACTCTCTTCTGCATCCTCCTCCTGCACTCCAATACCCTGCCCCAGGTTACAACCCCCATCTTCACCCAAACTCCCTCCGGGTATGTCTACACTGCATTCCTCTTTTGAGAGAGGAATGCAAATGCAGCTGAGCGAAATTGCAAATGAAGCGTGGGTTTGAATTTTTCCATGCTTCATTTGCATAATAGCATCCAGGCGCTATTTCGAAATACCCTATTTCGAAAAAAGAAACAGTCTAGACGCGGTTATTTCGAAAAAAAACCCTTCTTTCGAAATTACCCTTAAACCTCATTTTTTAAGGAGTAAGGGTTATTTCGAAAGAAGGGGTTTCTTTCAAAATAACCACGTCTAGACTGCGGTTTTTTAATTTCAAAATAGGGTATTTCGAAATAGCGGCCGGATGCGATTATGCAAATGAAGCATGGGAAATTCAAATCCACGCTTCATTTGCAATTTTGCTCAGCTGCATTTGCATTCTGCTCTCGAAAGAGGAATGTAGTGTAGACGTACCCTCCCAGACTCCACTTTTCCTCCTACAACCCATTCCTTTCTCCAGAGCTTCCTTCTGCACTCAACCTCCATCCCAAGCTCCACACCTCCTCCATTAATATCATGGAAGAGTGCTGCCCTTGACTACTGATCAAAGTTTTGGAGTGACCCCCCTCAAAAATTATTGCCCACCCCTGCCATACATCCATTACACATGCGGTTTCTCCAATTTGTATTGGGACAAGATCCCTATCATAACAAGATAGTGTCGTATGGGCTCTCATGATCCCCCAAATCTTTTTCACAATTCTAGTATATTTAGATAACTGTAACAAGATGTCCCATATTTAAAGCCCTCCTGCAGGTCCCCAAAGGGTCTGAACTGGGACCAAACCTATTCAACTTATTCATAAATGATCTAGAGAAAGGGGTAAATAGTGAGGTGGCAAAATTTGCAGATGATACCAAACTGCTCAAAATAGTTAAGACCAAAGCAGACTATGAAGAGCTTAAAGTTCTCACCAAACTAAGTGGTTGGGCAACAAAATGGAAAATGAAATGTAATATTGATAAATGTAAAGTAATACACATTGGAAAAAATAATCCCAACTATACATA